ATCAGCTCAGACATGTACAGTGCTTCCAACAGTGCCTGGCAGGAGCAATGGCTCCCCGGCACCCAACAAGTGCCGACAAAGTGCACTCAGACTGGAAAGTGACCCACTGAGGCCACACAATGCAGGGGACACAGGCAGATCTGAGGCCAGAGCCTTGACACCAAGCCCTCTTTCTGGCCTCTCCTCCCCTACCCACAGGCCTTTGCCAGGCACCAAAGGTGGACAGCCGCCCCCCAGCTCTGCACCCCCCCCCCCATAGTCCTAGCCTGACTGAGGCTCTGTGGGAAATCACTCCTCCAGGCCCTGAGGAATGTTCCTTTCTCTTCACTTGCTACCTAGATTACTCCATTCTCAGTCCAGCTTCCCAACATCCTCCCAGATGAGCCCTGATTACACCCCCATAAAACCCTAGGCAGAAACGCTTCAATCCGTGGTGTGGACCTCCCTCCCCAGGGAGGCCTGACATGCCAATGGCCATCTGTCACCCCCACAGTATATGTCACCCATTACCCACCACTGCATCAGCACTGAAAGGTCTCTGGAGTCCTCTGTCCTGTGGCATTATGCCCTCCATTAACTACCATCCACCCCTACCCCCAGGGCCAAGATGACCAGCCTGTGTCATCCAACCACAGCACAACTTTTTCTCATGATGCTTTGGCCAGTTCAGGAGCCAGCCAGAGCCTCACCCAAAATCGCTCGGCCTGGGGTGGCAGAGCCAGGCCTTGGTCTTGGGGCTTCCACCTCAAAATCTTGGTCTGTGGCAGGGAGAGACAAGGCCTGCTCGGCAATCATGACTTGTTGACCTGGCCTCCCTCCCCCTCCCCCATGCCTGTGCCAGGCAATGTTCTACTTCTGGGAGGTTCCTGTACTGGGTTTGAACTGGATCCAGGTTCAGTGCCATCTGTGTCTCTGCCTAAGGGGTGTGGGTGCGGCCTCGCTCAGAAACAGTTATCTGTTACAGAACCCTGTGGCCCAAATGCTCTTGGGTGGGTCACTCTGCAAACCTAGTGACTTCTGGCTGCTTTGAGCTGCTAAGGTCACAAGCTGAGGCCACAGCCCCCGGCCAGCTGGAGGAGGAATAGTCATTCCAAGAGTCATCCACCCATGGATTCTCCAAGTAGCAACCCACTTCTCAGGTAAGGTGGCAGACAATTAGTTGTCTCCTGAAACTCCTTCTCCCCTTTCTTCCAGCTCCCAATTTTAGCTGGGCATACGGCTGCCCAGAATAGAGCCCACACTCCCCAACTCCCTTGCAGCTCAAAATGGGACTCAGTCCCAGCCGATGATGTGTGGAAAGAGCATCATGTTGTGGCTTCCAGAACCTTTCCTTAAAAGATAACTAGGGCTGCCTCCCCCTGCTTCCTTTTCCTCGGCTCCTCCCATCCCTTACCCTAGACCCCTCTGGATGTGATGGCTGGAGTTTTAGCGGCACCATTGTGGACCAGGAGTCCCACATCACAGAATGACCAGCTGGTAAGAAGTCTGGGTCCTTTCTCTGGGCTTTTCCATGACAGAGAAATGAAGTTCTATCTCATTTAAGCCACTGTTATTTCAGGTCTGTTGCTACAGAAACTTTAGTACTAACTACATAAGCAGGTTTGAGACCAAAAGGTCTGAGGCAGAGAAAGGTTCTCGTCTCCCCTCCAAGCTCTAAACTGGAAGAGGATGAGCTCTGGGAACACAGAACCAAGATATCACCAAGGTACTTGGACGAGGAGTTGGGGGCTCCAGGCAGCAGGCAGTAGGCTTCACCTGTCTCCACAGCTGATGCTCTGCACGGAGACAGAGCATGAACCTCCTGCTCCAAGTGCTCTGCCGCTGCTCCTGGGAGACTGCCACCCCTACTGCAGGGAGCCCTGGGCACCTCCCCAAAGCAGCCTCCCCTGGCCTCTCTGCAGCCACCCAGGATCTCTGAAGCAGGCAGAGCCACCTTGGCATGAAAGACAGTGACACCCTGAGCAGCAGTGTCACTTGCATTGTTCTAATTGTCTGGGGAACTTACAGGGTAATTATGGCCATTTACAGCACACTTAACAGGGCTGCCTCCAGGAATAGCAGGAGTGGGGCGGAGGAGTGCCGGGATGTGCCTCCCAGAGAAGGTTCTCTGCATCTGCAGGGAGGAGGAGCCCGGGCTCTGGGAGGATGGAAGATGGGAGCCAGCAGTGCTTCTATAAGAACAGCTGTGGGGGTGGGGGTGGGAACAGGAAAAGGTTCCAGGAAATCCCAGCTTCTGCCCACCCTCCTGGAAGAATACCAGCCCAGCTTGGTATGCACGATAAGGAAAATCCAGGGCGCAGCGGTCACAGCCCACCCACAGAACAATTCCTGCTGGCTTAGGACCAAGCCGGCTGTTAGGGTTCGGTCACACGTTCCTGCTGGGCATGGAGGGGGCTTCCCCATCCCCCAACCTCCAACCTCCACCCTGCAGGCAGCTCTGGAGCTGATGACACCTGAGTCTGAGGTTTCCTGGACCCAGTAGTGTGGGGGCTGATTCTCTCCCCCCTGGGGGTCGGTCACCAGTCCCTTACACATGTGGCGCAGTGTGGGTAACTCTCACAATAGGATATAGGTAACGGCCATCAGAACCTGTCTCCAGGCCACGTCTGCACTGATCTAAGATGCATGCTCACGTCCTCATTTGCTTGCTCACACACCTTCAGTAGGCGCCCATGAACGAAGCCCCCAACTGCTTAAGACATTCCAAGTCCCCCACACTGACCCAGTGACCTACAAGTCATGCACAGGCACTCCACACCGCGGCTGTGTGCCACTCTGCTTATACCACTGCCCTGTCTGGGAGGTCTAGGCTGTCACCCTCAGTCTCATCCACCAGGGACAGGCCTGTTTCCTGTGCATGGTGCAATCTGACCAATCACCAGTCCGCTTCTCCCTGACTGCACACCCACACTCCAGGCCCAGGCTCACCCGTGACCCCACCCTTGATGCTCTACCCATGAAAACCGAGAGAGACTCCAAGATCCAATGCAGCTGCTTCAGCCCCCTCCATCATAATGGGAGCTGTGCCAGCAGTTGCCATTTCCGGGTGACACCATGAGCCAGGACCCACGCTAAGTGCTCATTAGATGGCATCGCAGTTATGTCAATCCCAGACCCTGTAGATAAACTACTTATTATCAACATCTTAACAGAAAACTGGCAGGGCGAGGTCAAGGGACTTGGGCCAAGGCCACACGGCACCAAGAGCTCAGATGTAGATACTACCTCAGTCTGTCTCCCCAAAAGCCTGTGCTCTTTGCCCTGAAAAGCCCTTCTCGGCAGTAACCTCCCTGACCCCATCAGAATACATCACTCTTCTCATGGACTTGGGAGGCCACGAGATGTGGTGGCCAACCTGCAAGTCCTCCCACTAATCGGGCCTTCTCATCAGGATCAGATTCACCTCCTGTCCCTTCACACACTGTTGGTGTCCAATGCATGCAATTCCCAGGAAGAGGCAGATTTCCTTGCCAGAACCAAAGTTTACCTGGAACATCCCTACAGATCTTCCTTCTCATCTAGGGTTCTAGTTGGACCCAGGGAAGGAAGGCAAAGGGAAGGGAAGCTGACCTCATTCATCGCTGACCATTCCAGGCCCAAGGGCAAAAGGATGCTGGCATACTGAAAAGGCCTGCCGTTTGGGGGCCACCCAGGAAGCCCATGCTTTAGGCCACCTGCTGAATGCCAGGCACCCAGTGAAACAGGCCTTGAGACCCCCTCCAGGACAGCCAGGTCCAACATCCAGCTCTTCCACAGGGCATGTTCCTTAGAGAAGCAAAGACTCACCAAGTCTCCTGGACAGCATCCATGCCAGGTGCTTGCTAGATCTAGGGCCCTCTAGCCATGGACATGGAAGTTAATTTAAGCTGAGGGGCTAGGAGCTGGCAGCCTGAGTTGGAGAGACCTGGCCAGATGCTGGCTCTGCTATGCACAAGCTGTGTGGTATTGGCCCATCTGCTGACCGCTCATTCTCCACCACTGTCTGCAGAACATGGAGGATAACCGTGCCCACCTCTATGAGCACCAGAAGAGACAAAGTAAGGAGAAAACTTAACCTACACACAGGTTTGCTGCCGGTCTGGCAAGCCAAACTTTTCCCACCGGTCCCACCATCACATGAAACAATGCCAGGCCAAGTCACCAGCCAAGTCAGGATTCAGGGCAACCCAGGCAAGCCACACTCATGGTGTGGGCGGCAGGTGTGGGGTGTGCCTCTCCTGTCCCAAAGATGGATCCTCACACAGCCCTGGGACACGAGCAAAGCACTTTTCCTTAGAATCAAACAAGAACTCTCAGCAAGGAACGCTTGGACCAGGCAAAGAGAACTAGGTTACTGTTCACATGAATCTTTCCCCAAAAGCCCTTCTCACATAAACAAACACCTTGGGAAGGCAGTCCCACTCCTCTGGAGTGGGACTCCCAGACCAGGGAGGTGGGGAGAACGAGTCCTCAGAGACAAGAAGACGTAGCTGGCAGGAAAAGCTCCCACAGCTAAGCGGGAGGCTCTGGCCCTGGAGAACAGAGCGTACCCCATGAGGCCCAGCCGCCACGTTACACATCTCCATGTGTTTGATTAAAGGCCCTTCAATTTCTGTTTGTCTCCTGTGCCCAGTTACGTAACTCTCCTTGGCTGCCCGCTGCTCCAGTTATTCTACACACACACACACGCCTGCTCTCTAACCACTGTGTTATCAGGACACTTCATCACCACTCTGTGGGTTCACGACAACAAAACAAAACAAACCGTCTTAAAGCGGCTGCAGCCACTCCCTCTCCCAAAGAGCACCCTAGGGCTTTTATTTCCTAACCGCTGGTCAGAGAAGGAGGGGAAAAGGGCCTCCCCAAAACGTGCACCCCACAAGGAATTCAGGTGCTTCCTGTCCCAAAGGGCTTAAACAGATCAGGCACCCTATCTCCCTCCGACGCGATGGGGCTGTCTGGGGCTGTCGAGGCGTCGAGGTGTGCCCCCGCCGCAGGTGCCGAGCCACGTGCGTCCGTACCTTTCATGTAGGCCTCGATCTTCCGGATGAGCTCGTAGGACTTGGAGCGGTCCAGCAGGGTCCTGATGGCAGGCAGGGGGTCCAGGACAATGGTCTCAGGGTGCGCGTCGATGTATTCCTGAAAGGGAAACACACCTCTTCCGGTTGGAGGTGGGAGGCTGAGGCAGAAACAAGGTTTCCGCAGGATTCCCTCCCCCCTCCCCCCTCCCCCCTCCTTCCCCCTGCCTCCCGCAGCCCCTACATCTATCTGCCCGGGGCTTCACCCGGGTCTGGGGCGGCTGCCTCCACGCTCCCGCCACGGCGGGATCACGTGGTGCCGGTCAGACCAATCAGCACCTTCCACCCTGGCCGCGGGCTCGGGCACGTGACCCGAGTTGGTCCTATCAGACGCAGGCTCCGAGCTCTTGCTAGGAATGCTGGGACAGGCCGGTCCCCCCACACCTGGGCGCCGCGCTGCGCCGCGGGGAGCGGCCCCTGGGCTCTGAGGCGGGGGCCTGAAGAGGCCGAGACGGCGGGTGGGCGGGGTGAGGAACGGGGCTGACGGGGCGCGCAGGCTGCTCCTGCTCAGCTCGTCTGGGCCCACAAAGGCCCCCCTGAATCCAGCCCGCTGCCCGCTGCCCGCGTGGATCACACCCCGCATGGTAAAGGCCCTGGGGCAGGGCAGGGCGGCGACGGCGACGGGAGGGCGGCTGTGGAAGGGTGGGGAGAAGCCCGGCCCGGGTGTGCCTGCCGCCGGGAGGGGGCACAGGACAGACAGGACAGACAGGACAGACAGACGGCTCCGGGGCAGCCTGCGGCCCGCGAGGGGACCCCGACCTCCGACCACGCCAAGGCGCACGGCGGTGAGGAGCTGCCGTCTCCGAGAATCCGGCGCTGCGCCTCGTCACCTCGTGGGCCCCCCAGCTCGGCCCGGGGCGTGGGAAGTGGGGCGGGCCCCAGGCCCAGGGCCCCGTGAGTCTGCGGCCCCAAGTGTGGGATGCGGGATGCGGGATGCGGGAGCCGCGGGGGCGGGGCCGGGGCGGGGCCGGGGGCGTGGTCGGGAGAGGCTGGGGTCAGGGAGCGGTCGTGGCGACGAGCCGAGCCGAGCCGCAGTGTGTCCTCAGTGGGTCGCGCTCGTCCTAAGCCCTGGGGCTCCTAAGTGTGACCTTCTTTGGAGACAGTGTCTTTACAGATGGAATCCAAGGAACCCGAGGCCGCGCGGGATTGGGATGGACGCTGGTGCACTGGCTGGTGTCTAAGATGGGGACCAGCGGACAGAGACACCGCGAGGGCCTCTGAGGACAGGCGGGCCCAGCCGTGCCTGCCCAGGATCCCCAGCCGGCCACCCGGCGGCAGGAGAGCGGGCGCCTCTAGCAGGCAGCAACCGCGGACACCCTGACTTCAGACGTCTACTTCCTTAACGTGACGGAGAAAGAGCTCCCTGTTGTGTGGAGCCACCGAGGGTGGGGTGCACCGTGTCCAGGCCACCCCAGGGAAGGAATAAAGCAGCTTAATGCATCCTCCTGCCCCCATCTACAAGACCAGTCTGCAGGGTCGGCAAAGGCCAAGGAAAAAGCCACAATGCTGCTTTTCAAGTCAGCCTTATCAACAAAAAAGAAAGCGCCGTTTGAAATTACTCTTTTTTTTTTTTTTTCAGTGAACCTATTTTGGTTCCTAGTAATCATTTTTAAGAGCTCTCAACACAAAGCCAGAGATTTATATCTACTTCTCTCCTGAAATTTGCTCCCATCCCCCTGCCCTTGTGTTTCATACCAGAGTATCTGGTTATGGGCTCATTTGTGTCTTTTTTTTTTTTTTTTTGAATGTTTTAAAAGACACTTCTCTGTTCCTAAGGGGGTGGCCAGAACATGCCAGTGGGGAGCCCTTCTTCCCATCCCCACACCTATGAACTCTCTGGGGCCCACACGCTCTCCGCCCCTCTCCCTGCACACCCATCCTATAGACATAAACACAGAAGAGAAGTCACCTTCCTCCTCCTCCCAAGATAGGTCAACAAGTCAGCTCAGTGACTGGCCCTCTTCCCTACTTATACAGAACAAGCCTGGCAGCCGATGCACACGAGCCCACAGGGGCTGTGAAAAGCTGAGAAGTATCCTCAAGAAAAGATTATTAGAAGCTGCATTCAGGCCATAGTTCCTGTCCAGTTCTGCTCTCCTACAGCCCCAGCCTCACATAAGTGCCTAAGTGCCTGCATCTCTCCAAGGCTGGCTCCCCATCAGCAACTATCCCTGTCAGCATCATTTCTTTGAACCAGGTCTACACTGCCATAAGAGTGTATCATTCACGGGACACCAAGATTCCCACATACGTACAAAATGTCACTGTCTTCATGTTAGAAGATCATTCACATAACAAACCGCACATCACCCACAGTGCTTAGGACATTGTGCAGAGTATTAAAGACACATGGGCTTTGCCCTACTTCGCCCAGGATCTGTAATCCTGGCCAACAAATTCATATTGTGGGTTATGACCTGAAGGCCCTGAACTGTCCCCACACACCCTCTCCTCCTCCCCTACCCCAACACACTAGGAAGCAGCCTGGTGCAGAGAGAAGAGTAAGGGCCCAGGACTCAAACCCAGGCTCTCACTGTTACCACCTCCCAGGGTCACCCTGGGCAGGCCACCTGGCTTCTCTGGGCCTCAGTTCCCTCGTCTGTGACTTAAAAGCCTAAATTGGAAAAACAGGACTAGCGTGTATGGAGGCAGACTTTGGGGACACACGTGGGGGCTGTTTTAGAACTGGATGGAGAGCCACCTGCTAGAGGCATTACAGATAATGGCACACACACATGCTTGCTGCTTGCCTAAAAAGAGGAGGCAGTATCAAAGATGCTGGCTTCAATGGGCTGGCCCAGTTCTCCCCCAGCAACTGAGTCCCATAAAGTCCAGACAGGATCCTTCCTCCCCCTAGAAAATCCACAACCCGCCCCAGTCTCAAGAAGAGTATCCGAGTAGTTGCTGGATCTGGTTCCACTTTTATGTGTTAGGGCAGTGACCTTTAAAGAGAGAATTCAGAATCATTAAGACATGGATTTAAGCCAAACTCATGAGGGAAAGAAGTTAGAAGAAACCAAAGGGGAAAATATCTGACCAGCAGGCGCCAACAAGCTTTTGACCCGGGATGAAAGCATCAGTATTAACAGAAGAATTATTCCTAAACACGATCTCTTTTGGGACAGGACAGAGAGGGCAAAGAAAGTGTTTTTCCAATCACCCCGCTATCCACAAGTGGATCTCCTTCCAAGCTTTTCAGCTTATCTATTGTACCACAGGCCTCATGCATTTTTCACAAGACTCTTAGAATTACCAAACCAATTGCTGGAAAAGTGAGCACCCTGTACCATTTTATCACCACTCAGAAGAAGAAAGGCCCAAACGGTCTCCATGGCAAATGGTAAACACATGTTCCTTTAGAACGTCTGCCCATAACACCTACAAAGGGAGCTTGGATGTTAATTAGGGGGGAGCCCAACTTGAAGCAGACAGAAAAGGGGGGGAGCAGAGATAGAGAGCCCTAGTCAGAGGGCCAGGAGGAGGGCTAGAGAAAGCAGACTGTTTGTTGAGGGCACAGAGAGGCAGAGGCCAGCCAGGTGCCCCCTGCCCCTATGCCCAAAGGATGATGATGCCACGAGGGATGCTGGGCCCTCTCTGCTAGGCTAGGGGAAGTCCATCTTTCCCCACCAAGAATGTGAGCCAAATGAGATGACCAGGATGAACACCACAAATACCATTTCTTCTGCAGTTCCATTTATGGATAGGAAATGAGAGATGCAAGGGTTTGCTCTTCTCTAACAGAAAATACAGGCAGAAGTCCCAAGTTCAAATCCGCCTCTGCCACTTACTCCATGTCTATGATAAAGAAAGTATAATTTATCTCTCTGAGATTGTTTCCTGGTGTGCAAAATGTCCATTTTACCCCCAAAGACTCATCTATTTCAGAGAGAGAGAGAGAGAGAGTAAATGCATGAACATAAGTGGGGGGAGGGCGGAGGTGAGGGAGAGCAGACTCACCACTGAGTGTGGAACCTGATGTGGGGCTCAATCCCCTGACCCTGAGTTCAAGACCTGAGCCGAAACCAAGAGTCAGATGCTTACGTGAGCAATAAGCAACCTACGTGCCCCTGCATTTTGGATCAAACCTATCTCAGGGAGCTTGCTTGCTGTGGGCAACAAGACCAGGACACAAAAGGAGCTGATAGATAGAAAAACAAAGAGAGTTCTCAGAATTGGACAACACGTGGACTCTTGGCACCAAACCTGACCCAAGGTCTCTGAACTTACCCTGCCATGCCCCGTACAGCAGGCAGTGGCATGCCAGCCCTGCACCTGAGGTGAGCAACAGGGCTATTCTGGCTGGGGTCAACCCTCCTGCTGATGCCCAGAGCACCACAAAATCCCATGCCCTGTGGCCCAGGCTCCAAGGTGCAACCTCTGTGGACAGGTCCTGGCAGAGCCCACAATGCCAGCTGCAGCCAGACAGCCAGCTCCTTACAGGGGAGCGAAAGAAGTGCCTGTGCATAGTTCCCGCCGCCTCAATTCTCAGAGGTAATAGACGTTCTGGCCCACTCCCCCAAAACACTGCAGGCCCCTTTTTAGAAAGTGGTGATTCACATTTAGAGATGCATGCTGAAATCATTTATAGATTAAATATGAGTGGAATACAGGTGGAATCTGCTTCAAAGTAACCAGGCACAGGGAATGGTGAGAGAAGTAGGTGAGGCAGAGAGAAAACAAGAGTGGCCATAAGTTGCTAACTTGTGAAGCTGGGTGGTGGCATGTGGGAGTGTGTGCTGTAGCATTCTCTCAAGTATTTAAATTTTCTGTAACAAAAAATCGGGGACAAAGCAGAGGGAGGGAGTAAAGTAACCAGGCAGGTCCTCCCTTTCTTCAATCCCACACACCCCTTGTGCTAGATACAGATTCAGACACCAACACTATCTTTCCAGAAGGAGCAAGAGGCAGCTAGCCAGATGGGAAACACAGTGAGAGATTAATTATGGAAAAGATGATAATAAATAAAAATCATCATAATTTTTAATAGCAGTCACCACTTACCCAGGACCGGCTGGCTACATGCACACAGCTGGGATAATGTGGTTTTCAAGCACCATGTCC